AGCTATTGCAGAAACGTTTGGGTTTAAGCATAAAGGGAAACGGTGCTGATAATGGTCCCGTCTAATTCAAGACTTCCATCCACCCATTTCCAATCCCCTTCTCATCCCCCCTCTGCCTCTAGATCTAATGATACCTTACTCCAGCTCTCGTTTGATTTGATAAACATGTGAACAAGGCCATTATATATACATTGCTCTCACTTTCTCCATTGCGTTTCACAGCCACAAACAATGATGAGCCGAGGAAAACCTACACATAGCCCGGTGGCGCATGCAGAACACTTTGAAGCCGAGAGATTATGGATAACTAACCCACGCAAAAGACGTATAAAAACATGTCGTGCGCGTAGTAGGATAGGAGCCCACAACTCATCCACATTACCAGTTAATCAAGAAAAGAAAAAGAGGAAAATAACAGAGAAGGAAGGCTAGCCAAGAGCAAGAATGTCTTACTACCTCATTCTTCCGATAATCCTGCAATGCAAACCATCTTAAATAACAAAGCCCATAATCCCGTGCTCACCACCATCCTCCTCTTCGCATGGTTACGACACCGTCAATGAAGCCACCAGCACAACGAGGTTTGGTTCACTACCTGACTGGGGGTTGCCAAGCACGCTACGCAAAAGCAACGGATACCAGCTTCTTGGTCCTCGCTCGTCTCGAATCCAGGTACGGCCTCTTTCTAGAATCGCTGAAGCTGGCAATCATGAAAAATTCCAATAATCGCACCTCATAAGTTGCACATCCCACATTTCAAACACACAGGACAAGCACACACACATCACCTAGCATGGGACACAAGATGTCATCGTGAAGGAACAGTAACGCCTGTTCATTGTTCGAATAACCTTTAGCTAGCGCCAGTCAAGAACCTGATCCCATATTGTAGCGAGCGACATGGCAGGCATTCTCATCCCCCCGACTGATGGCGTCTCAAGTTGCCCTTCAGCCAAAAACCCACCCAACCCTTTAGGCAAAGCCAGATATCAAAATTCGTCCCCCATCATCAAAGTCGTAACGATCGAAAGTAGGTTAGTCATCCCAGAAAGAGTAAACAACCAAGAGAAGAAGTGGAAGTGAAATGATTGGGCCCTGGGTGTATCTGCTCCCGTCGAGTTCGATATTGAAGAACCCCGGTGAGGCATATGCAAGTACCACCCAGAGTCGCCAATGGTAGTTGATGTGAAGTATTTCCAAAAAGAAGAAAAAGAGCGTCCCGGTGAATGAGTGCCTTTGAAGACAACCCCTGCGTAAGGGATCGTGTCCTTGGGCGGCAAATGTGTGGCCATGAGGGAACCGTCTAAATTCTCGTGCGCGCGAGTCCGAATGCTTCATAACCGCAAATGGCTGCCGCTACGAACCTCGTGATGTATGGTAGTCTAGCAGCCACCTGCTAGTTGATGCGATGCTGAGAGGTATAAAAATGAGGTGAAACAATCTGCTCCGGACGCCATGTGTATGCAAAGAAATGCCCCCCGGTGGGTATATGGGTATGATGCGCCTGGGAAGGTCCCAAAGTTCTCCCAAAAGACCTACTTCGACATAGAAATGAGGCGCTTAGGCCGTTTCCCCAACGCAAAACAGCTCGATCTCGCCGACTCCTCCTGGTGCAGTAGCGCGAGCTCCCTCGCGCCATTCGATAAAGGCGATTTGAATGTCATCATCACTAGCAATAGTGACAAAGTCGCCATCCTCGTCCTGGTATCGGAGCTTAAGCATGCCCTTGCTGATGCTGCTGTTGGTGAAACGCGCAAGTTTAGCGTCGATCCGGTCAATCAAAGACTGGTATGTGATGTTGAATGCGACAACCAGGGTGACGTAGTTGCCGCTGTCGACAAAGTTCACCTTGACCTTTAACTGCGTAGGAATCGGTAGATCGGGGCTAGCAAGCGGGTTTGACTGAGATCCGCTGATCCCGCCAGTGCCAAGAGGAGGAGACAACATCGCATTCATAGACGCAGCCGCGTCGATGCTGAGCTGCCGGTCATGGACAGAATTTGGCGTTCCCTGGCGGGGGTAGATTGGCTGAGCGGGGAACTGTGACATGGTACCACCGTAGCTTCCAGATTGCTGGTGACCGTACTGACGTTCTCGCTGGGCGCCCGGACTCTGCGTGTTTGACCTGATGGGAACATCATTGACTCTGGGCGAACCAGTCTGGGACCGCGGGATGTTCTGGTCGTGGGCTGGGTGCAGGTGCGCCGGGATGCCAGGCACCGCCGGAACAGGAGTGCCTCCTTGAGTGCGACGAATGTTTCCGGGGGCATTGATATCAGGTGTGCTGTACGATCTGCTGCGCTGCTGCTGTGCCGCACTCTGGCTGTTGGAGGCCATTGCCGGCAACGAAGGTCCGCGAGGATTCCTGTGCTGCGAAGAACCGTCTCGTGAAGGAGCTCTAGGCATCGCGGGGGCCGTGTATCTCTGATTGGGATCCTCCCATCCGGGCTGAGGGGTCAGCGACTTGGGAAATTGGTATCCTGGATTAGGAAACATGTTGCTGGCGGTGCTCGTGCGCGAGGAAACAGGCGAATCGGCTACGGGTGAAAAGTAAGAGTCGCCGCCACGGGCCCCGGGTGAGGAGGCGTCCGGAGCAGGCACCTGGGTTGTAAGGCTGAGAGGCGCTGGTGGTTGCGGGAGAGGGAATCTAGGAGGCGGAGCCCTCACCATGCCGGCAAGGCTCTCATTAGTTGCGGCGCGTTGCCGCAGGCTTGTGCTCGATGCATTGCGAGGCAACATGCTGCCTCCTGTCGACTGAGTCGGCATAGGAAACTGAGCAGGGGCAGAGGCGGGTGGCCACAGTTCCTCGTCATCGTCATCGTCTTGCTGGTTGAGATACGGGTTCTCGAGCTTGCCAGCGTTTTCGCGGGTCCAGGCAAAGTCGGGTGCTGCTGAATCGGGACTCGTAGCAGATTTGTTGGGCGTGCTCTCCTTACGTTGCGCCTCAAGGGCGACTGCCCATTTCTTCATCTGCTCCTCGTTTGTGTATTTGATCATGAAGTTCTCCACGCCAGGATCACCTTTCCACCAGATTTGGACAATGTAGGATCCTGTGGCTTGGTCAGCGATCGAGAGTTCAGGTATAGGATTAATGCCACTGCATACCAGGCTTTGCGAGGGAGACGATGTCAGTTACGTTCGTCATGAAGATCCTGCCCTTTAACTGGAGTCTCGCATTCTTGTTCCTGATCTTGGGTCCGGTAGATCTAGTCTTATCCTTCTTGTCCCTGCTCTTGTTCGCTGAAATTTCCTTGCAGCAGAGTAGTATGCATTCAAAGAGGTAAATCTCGTACTATTAAAATTAGCGTTTGATCCTGATTGGGGACTGCTCCTTCGAGGGAGGGCAATACTTACGTCCTTTTCTTGCTCGCTCTTTCCGGTCACGACAGTGTAAACACCATGCATCAGCAACCTGCCAAATTGTTCCACGCGGTGATTCTTCCAGTCGTCGACACGGTTTCGCAAGTCGTCCAGAGCCTCGTCCAAGAGATCCCGGTTGACTTCTTCGTTAGCCTTTGAGAGAACTCGTTCTGCGGACTCGATACCGCCTGCCAGGTCGGCCTTGATATCCTCATCCTCGCTCTTTTTCATCAAGTCCTTCAACAATAGAGGGTACTTGACGAGTCTCTGCATGGGCTTGAGGAGGAAGCCATCCAAGGTGTTGAAGTCTGCAGCCACAGGATGCCCACTAGCCTTGATCTGGTCAAAAACTTGGTTGGCCACTTGTGCTGCTTTGCGCTGGTTGGCGATGAAGGGACGGTAAATGTCGAATGCATCTTCATATGTGACGAATGGAGCACCCCAATGCTGTACGGTCTTGGGCATGGAGTTTGTCGTCTCTACACGGATCAAGAACCGGCGCTGGAAATCGAGGATGGCGTTGATGTTGAGGAAGATCTGATGAATGGTGTCGCCAGTGATGATTCCTTTGGTCTCCAAACTACTCTTGAGGTCGTAGAGGTTCTCCAAATCTTGCACATATTTCCGCTCCGTGTCCACCAGTTCCTTCACGATATGATCCCGGTAGCTCAGCTTGGAGCCTGGTTCTAGTGGAAGGTCGTCTTCGGGGTAAGGCTGGAGCTGCAAGAGGAGACCCCGTTGCTCAGCGATGTCGAGGACATAATTGACGACTTGAGTGGTCTAAGACGAGGTTAGTTTGGCTCATTCTCAATTTACATGGTCAATGGCGATTAAAGGCCGAGGTCACCATGTCGGAGGGGTAGCAGCCGTTTCGCATACCTTGACAAAACCGGTCGTGTCATTTCCTAGTACGTCGCTGATGACGAAGCATTCCGCCGACGGAATACCCAAGTCCTTTAGGCACGCCTGAATGAATTTGAAGAGGGCGATTTTTGCCTTTTTGCTGTCGCTTGCGGTGGCATTCGCGCCTTCGATCTCGAGGGGCTTCTCTGGTTGCAGGGCGTTGTAGATGTCGAGTAGCGGGTAGCCGGTGCGGAACAGGGCCCACAGTGATTCGACAGGGTCGTTGGGGTCGAGCTCTTGCAGATAGGGGTCGAAGCCAGGTACTTGTGATAATCGCAGCTTCAACGACATGCAAATCTGGTAAAGGGATCGCGAGGCATCGGCCTTTTGGTTGATGATGTTGGCCGTGGCCTGGACGGGACCTCCATTTTGCGGGGGCGTCACCGTGGATGCGCTATTGAAGGAGGCGAGAGAGCCGGAGGATGTGTACGCTGTCGAGCCGGAAAGCTGGCTGGCGCGGGGCGCATTACTCATGGTAGTGGGTAGGCCGCCAATTCCGTTGGATTGCTGGAATACAGGAGCCGTTTGTGTTCTGAGGAGAGGAGCATGAGCCATGACGTCCTAACCCATCCGGTGAATGGAGGGGAGAGGATGTAAGAACACGATGGTCGACGACGACGACGACGAGGACGGTCGAGGATCGTGCGAGGGCCGAGGGGCGAGGCGGTGGAGGCTCGATGAAGCGATTGCTGGCCCTGTGTCTATGTCGAAGACAGGGTCACGTCATTCGGCACCGGGGTTCTCGAGAGTCGGTCTGGTCGAGTGGACTCGGGATCAGGAGTATCGGTGGTTGGGCGGAGTAGGAGAAGCGACAATGTAGCGGTGGGCGTCGGGAAGGTTCTCGTCGTCGGAAAAGGGTGTGTTTGTTCTTGGAGGGCGAAAATGAGAACAAGGGGTTCGAGCAGTGGGCGTTCGGACTCTAGTATTTCCCCCCCTTGTGGTGATCGAGTAGCCCCCTCAGTGTGTTTTGCTTTGGCTTGGAACAGGCGGATGGCGAGGAGGAATAGGGATCTCTTCGCGTACGGGGTGTGCGTGTGCGTGTGCGAGAGAGAGAGAGAGAGTGAGAGAGAGTACTGCGTATGTGTGTGTGAGACAGAAGTGCCGGCGCCGAGAGTCGGTGGAGGAGGGAGGTTGGGCTGGTCGGGCGGGTCTGTTTTTCGAGTCGACGAGTCGAAGTTGCGGAGCGGTGCGGAGCGATGCGGGCTATCGGGGCGAAACGAGTTGCCTTTTTGACCCCTGTCCGGTCCTTGATTCTCCTATTAGGTGTCGCTAGTAGTGGGCGATAGCGTATATCTCGAACAGGCTTCGTGGGCCAAGAGCGAGTTGTTGCGAACTGGACGTGGTTTAGACTGACTTGGAGGTGTCGGTTGAGAAGTGTTGCCAACGAAGGATTGCAAGTCGAGGTTGGAGTTGTCGCTGAATTTGGGGACGCTGTTGCAGGACGCAGGCTGATGCAGTTGGCGTGCATGAGGGTGTGTCTTGATTCAACCTGGAGGGAAGGGGGGGGCTGGGTTAGGTACCAAGTCCAAGTGTATCCGTAGGGAAGCAGGGGAGAAGTAAAGCCAAAGTAAAGGTGGTAAGGCGAGAGGCACAGGCACAGGCAAGCTGCAAAGGCAAAGATAGAGGGGGGAGAGGCCGAGAGGAACGGGAGAGGGAGAGAGATACCTACTGTGTAAGGTAAGGTAGTGAGATGATGATTGCACTATCCGTACGGATACAGAGTGCGGAAGCGCCTGAGTCTCTGAGATGGACAGGATGGACGGGGGGGGCTTGGTTGCTTCAACTAGCTTGGGAAGGGTCAGGCCAGCCAGTTCGGGTTTCCAGTCCCCAGCTCCAGTGGACTATTGCGGTCCAATGTGGTCCAGTGTCTCGTCGCCCGTGCTCTGCTTATTGCCTGGGCCCCTAGAGTAAGGTATTGGCAGCACGAGCAAGGGTGTGGGTGATGGGTACGGATAGTGGTGGTGGTGGAGGTGGTGGGCGGATATGTGTGTGAGTGGGATGTGTTGGGCTGAGAGGTCTGAGGATGACAGATTCGGATCCACGTCCTTTGAGCCTTTGAGGGGAAAGTTGGAACTGTACTCCGTATCCGTAGTCCACCACGGTGAAGATGGGCAGACAGAGGGAAAACAGACGGCAAGCCGCAAAAGAGAGAGAGAGAAAGAGGCACAAAGTGGGAGAGGTACAACGAACTGCGAGTGCGCGGTGCTGTGAGGTGGTGGAGAGGCGGCCTCAGGTTGGCCGCATTGATCTGATGGAGGTTTTGGGCGTTTCAAATTAGCGGGTGACTGCGCTAGTCTTGATTGGGCCTGGTCTCCCGTCGCAGTGGACAGATCCACGTCTCCCATTGATTGAACCTGCCCTCGTGGTGCACGCGCTCGGTACGTGCTGCGATCCCATCAGCCTTCCATCAGGTGCAAGTGTACGTACTCCACACCTCTATCCGTACCTTAAGGTAGGTAGGTACGGAGTACAGGGCAAGCCTCGACGGGGAAGGTGTGGAATACCTTAGGTACCCGTACTTACCTTGGGAATGGGGGCATCCTGAGTACCTTACGTCACTGGCTAGGAAGGCCATTATCAAGCATCAGCATCTGTGCCTCCGAAAACTACAGCATCCTACAGGAAATATCGAGATCTCTATCACGGACATAGCGAATGTTGACGCCGTAGATCCTTGGAGACAAGGAGCGGGCAAGTCTCGAGGCATACAGGAAGGAGGGCACTCGGACTGACAAAGAGGAGGGGGGTTTTCGAGCACGAGGCAGAGGAACACAAGACCTGAGGTGGACTGTGGACACATCCGTAAATCTACTTGGCCGGCACTGCATTGTTCGAGAAGGTCGATGGAACAAAGATAGGGGAAACTTGAAATGGAGGGTACGGATAGACCTGGGTGGCAGAAGCACATGTAGACTCGACGATTCACACAATTCTCTGGAAACTTACTTCCAATCTAAACTGCATGGTACGGAGTAGTATAGAATGTATCACTGGGGAGGATTGCTGATTACCTACTGACTGTCGTGAGCGCATCCTCCATTCTGCCCGTCCCGTGTCCCGCATCCTGCGTCATTTTCTCTGACGGCTGTCATTGTCATGCCCTGAATGACGAGCATGGAGGAAACGGGCCTTTCCTGGGAGGGGTCACGCAAGGAGTACCTTACACCATCCACTATCAAGTACCTACCTTATCGACTAACACTCTGTACGGAGTAGTCTGCACCATATAGCAACTGTAATCCAACGCTGTCTTTGGCCGATGGCAGAGATCATTGAGTCGCCATATAAGCATTAGTCCAACATCTGTATGTATTCGTATGCTATCTTGCAAGCCCGTGTCGGGTTGATTGCCATGCCCCCCATCGCGTCTGCAAGGTACTCGTTGCACGACATGCTTACCGGGCCCTTTGTTCCCCCGCTGTAGAAATCGATAGATCCATGGTTGCTTTGGACAATGAGCCGACTGCCCACTTGTTGGTCCAAACCCCTCTGGCCACTTGAATCCAACATGATTTGTATTGCTCAGTCAGAATCAGTCAGAGACATGGGAGATGCAACTCTATCCCGTGAGATGCTCGACACCTTGGGTAATTCGCCAAGATGGTCTGCGGAGTAATTTACCGGAACAACACATCAGCAATACCGGTATCTCGTAGTAGGTACGTACAGATAAACGTCTCGGCTTAGCTAACCCACCAGCCTCTGCTCCGATAAGACACCCGTGGACGTGGGGGAGCACGGAAGGTGGGAAGGCACCAAGAAAAAAGGGATCCTTCCTGCGCTCTTGAAGCCAAAATCTCCCTGACCCCTCGTGCCCCCTCCGAGCAAAGACATCCTGACCATCTCTTCAACATCCTCTACGGCGACAGTCCGTCCTCGATGCTACACATTCCCTTTCTTGGGGGTTGCATTCGACAAACTGACCTCGACACCTTACTTCTGAACAGCAACTTGCCATCTCGGCCAGGGCCCGAACAAGACCCGACCAGCCTGCATCGATCGACATCTGCCGTTGCAGTCGCAGTCAGTCTATCGTGGTTGGTCTCCCCCCAACATTGAAACTAACGATGCGCCAGGCGCCTTGGGGCACATCCATCCGGTCGTGTCTGCACCCTTCGGGCCTTCCCCGCCTTCGCCCGCCGTATATCCTGCTGCACATATCGCAAGTGCTTCTTCTCTTAGCAGACTTTGACCACATCTTGTGCGGCCGGCTGCTAGGAACAATACAAACCCATGGTCCCCTCTCGCCCTCTCCAGAAACCCCTGCCTGTGCTAAGGTACGCTGCCCGTCAGCATTTTAAGCCGTCCGACCGACAGATACCTACACACGTTCACACACACACACACACACACACACACACACAGACGATATCGGTGGATGGGTTCTCAGACAAGCGCCTGAGCGTCTCCCATCCATCTGTCGTTTCGATGCTCCAATGCACGGAACTACCCTGCTCTCACGCCACAGACAGGACATGCGCCGTGCAGCCTCGGACTGCCATCCTGGTCTCTTCTGACTCTGCCGTAGTGCCTCTTCAGGGTCTCTTCAACCTACGCGCCGCTATCGAGGACGACGTCCACCCTGCAATTGTCGCTGTCAGTCTGTCCGGGCACACGGCTACCGACCGCCCGTTGAAGGGCATACCGTCATGTCTACCTGTGTAGCTCCATGGCCCAAAAAAAAAAAACCTAATTCCCTGCGAACCAAGTCCTGGCTGGACATCCAATCCAGAACCGCGGATCAGGTCCCGGCAAGCCACCCTCCATGGGCTGACCAAAACACGTCAAAGACGTTGAAACACCATCTTCATGCATCTGGTAGGCTATCCCACTAGGCCCAGGAAACAACGGGAGCCTCGCATGACGAATTATTTTGGGATTTTCTGGACGACTCAACCAACGCCTTGCAAGGAATTGCCGACAGGGGTCACGGCGGCCAGCCTCCAGGAAGGCGAGCGGAATCCACTCCGTACGAAGGGCGTCCCGGGCAAGTTCCTCTACCCTTCACGATGCGCTGCAGTGTGCTTCAGGTTCCCTCTCGTGCCTCTTCTGCTTTGTGGAATGGGCTGCAAATACCAGACATGGCGCTCGTCCTTGTTGCTTCCCATGCGCATATCCTGCACAAAAAAGAAAATGCAAGCATGGTATCGCAGTTGACCACCTCAGCCCCAGGCTTGGAGGCTTCAACGGTGCGTCTCACTCTCGGCTTGGGCGGTCCGGGCTGGGGCGGTGGTGCGAGCTGCTCGGAGCGAGAGGCGTTTTCGGTGGCTTGATGATGAACACCGGCCCCGTCTCAAGACGGCATGGTTGAGACTCGGCGGCCGCTGGCGAGCTCATGACCGATGCGATGCGTCTGGGCTGCACAGTTTATGCCTCTCGTAGGTTAGCAAACGCCGCCAAAGAGTATGGCGATCAGCCGTGGCTCCCGGGTCTTCTTTGCCCGTTGGTTGTTTTCCTCCAGAGATTTGTTTGAGAACGAGACAGTACAAAGACATCTGGGGATCTGTGACAGCAGAGGATTTCCCCCCCCCCCCCCCCCCCCCCCCGCGGTCTTTGTGGTGGATGCCAATGTCACCATTGGGCTGAGGCTCACAAAGGATGGACAAACTGGGGATAGTCTATCGGGACAAATCTCTCGTGCATGCACCCACGCAAACCACGGCACATTTCGCGGCCCATCCCTTAATTGGTAGGACTGGATCGTACGGATACGAATAGGGACCGTAGGAGTCGTGGTGGATCCAAGCAAAAGCCGAAGTACCCCGGAAAATCAATTTAGGCCGGTTATTAACTCATTGGACTGACGGAAGATCGGAGTTCCTTTTCGCCTTGTTCTGGTTGTCCGTTGTCCACAAACAGGCAAACCTTACGATTCTGAGAAAGCATTCGACCAGAACCTGTGCTTCTACGGATACAGCATGCCTTGACTTGACTCGTAGCGGTTCGGGAAACAATCAGATTATTGGCGCCGCCTCGTGATCTTGTGCGCGACTCGATGCGCCCAGACAATGACACGCCTGCACCTACACGAGCAATCTCTAGAGAAAGAACGTCATACCCCCCTTCGGAGGCAATCAGAGGCAAGTATTCAGAGAGGGGAGTCCCGGGCTGACGTGCAGGAGCGGCGAACACCCAAGAAACCTAACCGGAGCTTTTCTGGAGAATTGGCAAAGTCAGCTCCGGACAGCGCGCGCGCGCGCGCGTGAGAAAAATTTCGTGCGACATGACCGCCAACGGGGCAGAGTGAGCGGATGGGAAAGTTTTTGAAGTCGGCTTGCTGATTGGAGTCTTTTTGCTATGTGCGACAACGTTCCCGCTACCTTTATTCGTACTCGCCCTGCATCTGTCAGGAGAGTCTCTCCGAAGATCATGATGGGGGATCCCTCGTGTTTGTCCAGAACCTGAAGTACCTTGCCGTGCTTCCAGTACGGAGCACTTGAGAGGTAGGCGCAGTCCTGCGGGTACCCGGACCGGGCGTTGTCACTTTCGAGTTTTCCGAGGCTCAACGGGGAGGGCGGAAGCATGCTGGGTGCGCTGGGCTGGCTGAACCGGCAAAGTGATCATCTCCACTGACTTTCGTGGTAGGACCGAGAACTGGCCCATTTAGGTTGCGAATGAGAGACGAGAAGGGGGGGAAGGATTGATCAGGGCGGAATGTTCGCCGCCGCTGATCTGTGCTGTACACGTGTCAGTGACAGGTGTGTGTGACTTATGCTCTGTGCCTCTCAACCCTCTGCCTATCGTTCTTTTCGCCTTCCAGATATTAGGGGAACCTTGGAGATGAAAGGCGAGAAGTCGGCGACATGATTTGACTTACTCGCCGCTTCTGCTCTCTCAAATCCGTTGAGTTGTCAATCATGAGACGGTGAGCGGTGAGAAATTCAGCCCTGGGTAGGAAGGGGTTATCACCAAGAAAAAAAAACCGTTTTATGCCACCGGACAATGATGAAAGCCAAGATGCATGGAAACAACTCTAGAAGCAACAACAAAAAACAAGAATCTTGGAGCTAGAGCCGAGTCTCGGCATATGACCAGCGGTCCATGTTGCGATGAACCGGACCAGTCTCGATAGCCCGATGAGGGTGAAGGAGGGGGGGAAGAGGGAACATGGGACTTGTTGTTCGATGGAGAAGTCGGCGCCGATGGGGGACGGGAATCGTAGGTCCTGTCATGTAGGTAGATTCATCAAGAGCAGGATTTAACTTTCTTGGGCGATTGGGTTGTGAGCTTAAAACGGTATCTGCGGGTGTGAGGTATAAAACATTGAGGCGTTAAGGTGATAGCTTTTGATATCGACGGGTGACTATGTTTATTTCAAGTAAGTTGAAGTAGAAATGTGATGAGAAGGATGAGTTCGAGGTCGATTATGATCTCGGGATCTGTGAGATCTAGATATGTCTCATCCGTGGATACAAATCACATCTCTATGCCAGATGCTAAGTGATGAGATCTTGTGTCACACACACACACACACCATTGCCCAACGGTGCCAGTGCCAATCTAGGATTTTCCCATGAGCTTGAAGTGAGTGGATGAGTTTCTTGAATCTTGCTTTCTGCTTGCCGGCATAGCTGGCACTGGAACTGGATACACTTCACCCAAGCCCCTCCCGAGGGTTTTTTGCCACCCGTTGCTGCTCATTTGCGGGTCTTTGTACGAGAGTTAGGTACTGTATTTCGTGCAGTTGAGGCGGCAGGCAAGGCGTAGTGCGGGAGGGAACGTTGGGAGAGTGTGGGAATGAGACGGGAGTGAGAGCGTGGGAATCCCCCCAGGGTAATCTGAAGGATGGATGGAAGTGAAAGCCCAAACTCCCGTACAATCCCGCGAGCTGTCTTTCCTTCCGGAGCGGTTTACGGAAGAAGAGTGCCGTGGCTTCGGTGTATGGCACGGCCTGACCGCATCGCAAAGCCGTACCCGTAGCCTAGAGTGCCTGGACAGCTTGCTTATAGGAACGTAGGTAGA